CTCGGACCAGCTGCTCAAAGTAGAGGCTGACATTTTTTCGGGAATCCCACGGGAATCCCGTCATCTTTGCTATTATTCACGGGATTTGGACGGTACAGGATAAATGGTTCAGTATGGGACTCTCTGTTCTGAAAATGGCTGGCAGTCAATGAGTTAATATGCCTACAATGTAACACAATTAAAAAAATTTAAACTTTGGTCTGGGAGTGGGACGGGACCGGAGTGAAAATCCACTCCCGTGTCATCCTCTACCGCAAAGCCCCGGAGAGCTCCAGACTCAGGGGTTTTTATGGGTGAACAGGGCGGTTTTTTCGGGGACTCTACCTCCGGGTTGGTCTGGGTTCAGCAGCTCCTGCAGCCAGTCGGTCAGGGCCAGGGTCAGGGCTCCCTGGGGGCTGTAGCCCGGGTCCCCGTCCTCACCTGTGCACCCAGATAATCAAACTTTACACCTTCCTCACATTGTGTGGACTGTTAGATATTTCCTGGATTTACTGGCACACCTGAACCATAAGAGAAGAATCTGCAATGTCCACAGACATACGTGCATCTGAACAACTTTTTGAAAGGTGTCAAACAGCAATGACAGATAATGTTTGTGACAATAAAGTAAAGAAAAGCTTAAAAAGTAGATCCCAAACACAACTATTGGCTCGTCTCACAAACCTCAGGCGCACTTTTAGAGGCAAGAACTTCGTTACACTAACAAAGCAGCATTACAGCCCATTATCACCACTTCCCCCCAAATTCATCTTATTCTTTAGGTTATTTTTAAGTTATTTTTCAGATATTTTAGGTCACGGAACACAGAAAGTTCAAAATAAAAGAGCCCATGCTCACCCATTTCCTCGTCTCTGGAGCCTCCGTCGGCGGGGGCTTTGCACCACGTCGCCAGCGTGTGGATGGCCACGAAGTTCGGGTAAAACTCGCAGTTGGGGTTCGTGAGGACGCCTCTGAGTTTGGGAATGAGCGCAGTGGGCCGGTCCTTCCAGGAGAGAAACACAAAGGAGCTCAAACAGAGCCGTTATTGTGATAAAAAATAAAGTAAATTAACTCATTGGCTGCCAAAGACGTCTATAGACGTCTTTTATGTTTTTCATCGAGAGTGGCTGCGGGACGATCTGCTAAAGCTTGTCCGTAAATATAAGGCTTCTAGACAGAGTATGTAGTAACAAATTGACCCTCTAGGGGGCAGTGCCACTTTTGATGGGAGATGAGCATAGACTGTAGGCAAATAAGAAAAAGGTAACGGTTCGCTACGAGAGAACATGTCGCTGGTGAGACGCAAGTCGAGGAAGAACGGAATAAGGTAGAAACACATTTTTTTTCCTGATGAAAGAAGAGAGTCTACTCTTTCTTTTGGTGTATTCGGTGTTTACATAGTCATAGCACAAACTATTCTGTGGCTCTTGAAATATCAGTCGAAATGCTCAAAAAACTCTGGCAGTCAATGAGTTAAAAACATGCCTTGTAGGGTCCGAGGAAAAGCCTCTGGGGGTCGTAGTCGTTGGCGTGGATGTTGTCCCAGATGAGGGGGGGCCTCCTCAGGACGGAGGACACCTCCTCGATGGACTCCACGGAGATCTTGTGGGACACCACTTTGGGACCTGAGCAACAAGAGGGCGGTGAGGGGGGGGGGGGGGGTCCTGAACGGGGGGGGGGGAGGGAGACCCACCGGTCCACAGCACGTCGATGCCGGGGAGGGGGCCCCCCCCCCACCGTCTGCAGGTACGGGGACTGGGACACGCTGGGGGTGCAGAAGGCCGCGCAGTAGTCTGGGAACCAGGCAAAGACACAACAACTAAGAGTTTTGGTTTAAGGGTTTCTGTACAGTGAAATATCAAAAATGTTCATTTCATTTCTACATCTCTATCCAAGCCGCAACCAAACTGTCTGTGTTATTACCTGTATTGTTTATTTTCAAATCCCAACTCTACAGTACTTATTGCACTAAGAATCCCTTTTTTCCTCAGCTCTTTTATACATATATGAATATGGAAATAAATAAATAAAATAAAAAATAAATAAATAAAAGAATAATAAAAGAAAAAAAGAAAATTAATTAATATATATGTAAATAAATAATAAGTAGAATAAAAAATAAATAAAAGAATAATATATAATATTTAAAATGAATTAATAAAAAAAGAACAATAAAAATAAATAAATATATATATATATATATATATATATATAT